GCTATCTTCAGCCCATACTAGATCATAATGAACTATTCTTCATATCACCCCTGTGTTGTCACCTCCTGAGCGTTGCCATCTCCTGAGTGTTATTGTTGAAGTACTTATATGTCCCACATGCATATCGATGCATGTTGACATGCAGCTCTGACTCACCGGTGTCTTGCTTGTGCTCCACAAACCACGTGATTCAGTTTAGGATGCCGACACATCTTCAACTTCCCCCCTCGACGGCATCGTCAATCCTATTAGGTGTGCGATCCGAGACATGGCCAAGCCCTTTAACGGCTTTGTGAGGATGTCCGCAATGTTGTCTGTTGTCCCAACGAAATCGATTTTGACTTCTCCTTCCTGAACATGGTCTCTGACGAAGTGGTACCTTGTGTCGATGTGCTTCAACTTCCAGTGCTTGGCAGGGTCTTTGCTTACCTGGATACATCCTTGACTGTCTGTCCGCAATGTCAGTGGATGAGCCTCAACTCCCAGGTCCCTGAGAAGGTATGAGAAGAAAAGAGCCTCTCTCGTTGCCTCCGAAGCAACTACGAATTCGGCCTCGACTGCTGACAATGCCACACACTTTTGAACATGTGATCTCCAGCTAACCGGGCACCCATACATGTATGTTACTCCCCCTGATGTGCTTCTTCGTCTGTTCGTTGGGTCCGATGCCCAATTTGCATCAGTATACATAATGATTTGCTGTCCCAAGTGTTTGTTCGCTTCATCTCCGAAGAGTAACTTATATTCGCTGGTTTGATTGAGGTACTTCACCAAATGTAATGCTGCCTTCCATGCATTGCTCGTTGGGCTTGACATGTATCTTGCTAGTGTTCCTACGGTGAATGATATGTCGGGCTGTGCTGTGTTAGATACCCATAAAAGCTGTCCAACTAATTCTTGGTACTGTTTTGCTGCCAATGAGTTGCACTTGTCACCACCTGTAACACCCGTCAGGCTCTGCATCAGTACCCATGACTTCAGATCAGTTGTTTGTAGCCACTTTCTCACCATAGCCTTAATGTAAGCCGTTAGATCGAGTGTCATCCTTCTCCGTATTCTGTCTCGATCTATCCTTACGCCTAAGAACTCCTTCACAGGTCCTTTATCTTCCGTTCCCCATTTTGCCATTATCTCATCCTTAGTGCAGCTTACCTCCATACGACTGGGTGATGTTATAAGCATGTCATCTACATAGGCTGTGATGATTGTCATGCTATCACCTGTTCCTCTTGAGTATAGGCATGGAGCGCTCGGCATGCAATAGAAACCTATCTTTCATAGGCGTGAGTCTAGCTCCATATTCCATTCTCTACCCAATTGCTTTAATCCATATAGGCCTTTCATTAGCTTCAGGGCCTTTCCAGGGGGTACCTTCATTCCAAGCGGTGGCTTTAAGAAGATACTATGATGTAATGTCGAGTTCAGGTACACCTGTTTAACATCGACACAATCTACTTCCCAGTCTCGTATGGTTGCCATGGCTAGAACTCCTCGAATTGACTGGATAGGTGCTACAGGGGCAAAAACTTCTGTGTAATCAATACCCTCTCTTTGAGTGAAGCCCCGCACCACTAACCTTGCTTTGAACTTGGTTGGGACTAGGTTGGCATCCATCTTTATCTTTAGTATCCAACGTGTGTCGACAGTGTTCATACCCTTTGGGAGATCGGCGACTTCCCATGTGCCCATGGCCTTAAGCCCATCCAGCTCCTAACACATCACTTCTTCCCAATGTTTCTTATTCTCTCCGGATAGCGCCTTGCTAACGGTTGGGTCCAGGTTCTTTCTTTCATTGTCATTGGTTGCCATAAATCCATAAAGTTTATTATCATTCCATCTATCGGCAATGGTATTGTGTTTGATCGCTTCCTTGGCAACTTCGTCTGAGGTCTGTCCTCCATCTGTTTCATCGACATTATCCATGTCCGTGTATTCCTGCAATGCTTCCTCTTCCCTCTCGTCAAAAAGGTTCTCGTCTGTGTACCTCAGATCGCCAAAGTCTTCCTCGTTTGTTAACGCTGGTGGCGGCTGTGTAGTCACTGGTTGCCACTCCGTCCTATTGGACCAGCATTTGGTCTCCATGAACTTTGCCAAATTGCTCCAGAATATATTTGGTCTATAATCTGGGCTGTAGAAGAGCCAGCCTCTTCTCTCCAAACTATATCCTAGGAATATGAATGCTACGGCCCGTTGGTCGAGCTTCTTATTGTCTCTTTTAGCTTTAGGAATATTTACCCATGATAAACATCCGAACACACGTAGAAGCTTCATAAGCCGTTCCGGCGATCTCCCAAACATAGCCTGATACGGGACCTCACCATCTATACTTGGGGTGAGATTCATCTTGAACGCCGCGGCCCATATTGCATACAGCCAGAACCTCTTCGGCAATCGTCTCTGCATGAGTAGGGCCCGCATCTTCTCACTTATGCTCCTGTTCGTCCTTTCTACACGTCCGTTCTGTCTGCTATCATATCCTACTGTCATTTGCCACTCTATGCCTTTATCATGTGCCCATTCATGGGCATCATTGCTCCTCCATTCAGTACCTTGATCAGACCGTATTGCTTTTAAACTCTTTCCTGCCTGTGTTTCTAGGTACACAATTATTGATTTTAGCTCCTTAAAAGCGTGGCTCTTTCGTAATAGAGGTCGTACATACACGTACTTGCTGTGGTCATCAATCAAGACCAAAGTGCACATGTACTCTGTTGCATGCGATGAATCGACTATCAAGTCGATATGAATGAGGTCAAGCGGAGAGACAGACCTTTCTCCACCACCCTGACCCATTCAAGCTGCCGTGCTTTTAGCTCGGATGCAGTGTTCACATGTCAAAGCGGCATTTGGATTTAGGTTTGCTGGGTGGTCACCTTTTAGATGGTTGATAATGGCTCTCGTTTTGTCTTGGCCCGGATGGCCTAGACGCTCATGCCATAATTGTTGTTCGGATATCTTGACTTTGTTCTCAATACGCTCGAAATCTTCATCAACACCTTCAAATAATGATGCTGATGTGATCATTGCGTTTTCCTGCCATGTGTCGCCTCGGAACTCCAAAAGTCCTCGCTCACAATTCTTGGTCATCTTGAGTAACATGCCGTTTGCTAGGTATATTTGCCCTCCAGTTGAATCTAGTATCACTTGTGCTCCTTCATCTGTCAGAGAATTTGTTGACAATAGGTTAACATTGAGATGCTGAACATACAATACATTTTGGAGAAGAACATCTCCGGTGTTTGTTGATATGCTAGCATCTCCTATAGCAGTTGCTTCCAGAACCTTGCTTCCAGCGGTGAGTACGCGCTTTCAGCAGGTCCTCGGACCAATGAGCATGCTATAGTCGTTTACCATGTGATAGCTGGCACCTGAGTCTAAGATCCAATGAGAAGTCTCTTTTGAATCTAAAGTGCTCGGCCAACTATGTGTGAGGGAGCACCAGATCTCCTATTTGAGCCTGGCAAGGGGAGAATTTTCTGGTATAGTCACTGATGCATCACATTGACTGATCCCATGTCCAGGTCTTTTGCAGACCCAACATCAAAGCCTTCGGGGTCTGGCGGCGACCTTGGCACTGGTGCTGTTGGCATCCTTTTCATCCTTCTCATCATCTCCGGGTGTCTCATTCTGGTCGTTGCTGCTGGCGACTCTGGCACTAGCTTGGCGGGGATCAACCCTCGAAGCAGGGTTGTTCTCGATCGCCGATTGCCGGATGGATAGGGCGGTGGCAAGGGCACTGAAACTAAGCTGGCTTACAGTAGCGACAGTTTCTTTGTACATTGGGTGTCAGATGGTGCACTTTTGTAGATTTGAAAACAGGGTGTCATCAGCGAATGGCTTTCCCAGTAAGCTGCTCTCCGTTTGGATGGTTCTTATTTCTTGGATGAGCTTTCGTACGTCTGAGTTGTACATCCTGAGTTCTCCTAGCTGAGCGATCAATGCAATACGGTGAGATATGGTGGTGGCCTCATTGGTGAGTCCATTTTCAATCTTCTTCCATGCATTATGGAATGTATGATGTTCCCTGATGATGTCAAGAATCAAGTAATTTATGTTAAACTCTCCAGTGGTATCGATGGTACTGCGTAGTGCATTCATTAAGGCATCATCAAACGTGCGGTTCCACTTGGGATGTTTCTTGTCATACGCTCCATCGAGATGCTTCATAGCATGGGGGACACATCATAGGAAAGACTTGATATGGGCGCTCCAACTATAGTAGTTGTGTGATGTGAGTTTTGGAACTGGCTCAAGTAGCTTTGCTAGGGTACGAAAGTTGTATTGCTTGCCATCATTGTTGTGGTCCAAGTCAGAGTCAGTTTCTTCATTGGCATTGTCGTCAATCGCCTCAGTGTCTGACTCGCTGGTGGCCTCGTTATCAGCGACACGCAGTTGTGTTGCCTTGCCCTTTCTTCCTCCTTTGACCTTGCTTGCTACGGCTTGAGCTTCGGTTTCTTGCACCATGTTATCGATGGTCCTGGCTAGCTCAGTCGGTAGAGCTTCAGACTCTTAATCAGTTGAAGATTACAGGTAAAACGCAGCTGTTTAGGAGCTACTAGCAAGCTCAACTGATCAGGCGTATAACGGTTGTTATGTTTTTAATTGATAGGTGCTACAATGTGAACATATACTTGATTGCTATCTTCAGCCCATACTAGATCATAATGAACTATTCTTCATATCACCCCTGTGTTGTCACCTCCTGAGCGTTGCCATCTCCTGAGTGTTATTGTTGAAGTACTTATATGTCCCACATGCATATCGATGCATGTTGACATGCAGCTCTGACTCACCGGTGTCTTGCTTGTGCTCCACAAACCACATGATTCAGTTTAGGATGCCGACGCATCTTCAACTGTGTCGAAGGGTTGTGCAGCGCTGCAATTCGATCCTGCGAATTCAGGGTGGCACAGTTCCAAGTCGATACCGTGAGGGAGGAAGATTTCCGCGTTCGCTGGTCTAGAGTAAAAGGTTCAAAAAGGTCATTTGTCGTCAAAAAAAGACGTCGGCGGGACTCGAACCCGCAGCCTTAGAGTGATTTCGCTATTAATGGATTTGCCCATTGATTAACACGATCTTAGAAGCTCTATGCGCTAGCCATTGCGCCACGACGCCACATCGTTCTTATGTAGGTGACTTTGCGTAGATATTGCTATTAAAGGTTCTCCGGCTTTTTTAACAGCCTCATCGCCATCTGAACACATTTGTTCTCCTCACAAGGCTGGCTGCACAGACTCGCCCAGCTGGACAGAGAGCAACGACACTGAATTTCGTATAGAACTGTAACGAACAGGGAGATATGGCGAGGCCAAAAAAGTGTGAGGAGAGCGTGCATCAGCTGCGGCCAAACCAACCACCGAGCCAGCCCTTTTTCTTGGCGGCAGCTTCTGCCTCAAGTCGTGCCTCCTCCTCTTCAGCGAGCGCATTACCTGGATCGTAAGCCAAGGAGACGTCGTCTGCTCCGTCTTCTTCTTCGTCTTCCTCCTCTTCATCTTCGAGATGTTCGACCTCCTCCTCCACGTCGGCTTGCTTCTCTTGCACAGCTGGCTTTGAGGCGGCGGGCTGAGCTTTGGGGGCCTCTTTGACGGGCTTAGCCGCAGGCACCGCAGCCGATTTAGCCTTGGCAGCCCTGTGCTGAGGCTTGGAGACAGGGTTGAGCGCAGCCTGCTGTTGTTGCTCGTACTCGACCTTGACATCCTCAGGCACACGCTGAGCTTCCTGAAGCGAGACAGGATCAAAGTCGATATACTTTCGTGCAATGTCCTGCAAAGCTTGGCCAGCGCGGGAGTCGGACATACCTGCCTTGCCCTTTGCCTGAGACTTGCCTTTGCTGGAACCACGCTGGTGATGCTGTTGAGCCTCGAGGAGCGACTTCTGAACGTCTCGCTTCAGACTAGCAAGGGCCTCGTCCGAGTGGTCAAACACAGCATCAGAGCCGCTGCTCGACTTGAGACGGGGCGGGAAGTCGGCAGCCTCTTCGTCAACGTCTTCAGCCAGCTCGGCAGCCTGTCGAGCCTGTCGAATGTAGAGCTGGGCTCGAGAGAGGAGAAGAATGGCTTTGGCGTGGGCGCCTGAAAGCGAGAATGCGCGAGCGAGGTGACGCAGGATCTCGCTGCGGAACCAAGCTGCCTTGGCCTCGACAAGGCTCGAAACGTCGGGCTCCGATTCGATGAGCGCAATCGAGCCCATGGCGACCAGACTTGTCTCCGCAGCGTCGAGTAGTCTGGCGAGCGACGGAACAGCTCGAGCGCCGCGACGCTTCGACTTCTGTGCAGCGATAGCACGAGCTCGGTTCTCTCGAGCCAAACCTTGACGGGTTCGAAGCTTCCTGGTACCGCTTCTGGAAGGCTTGCGAGCATGCGAGCGGGCGTTTGAGCCAGACTTTTTGGCGCGTGATCCGGACGACTTCTTACGAGAAGCGGCTTTCTTGGCCGAAATCGCTTCGTCGAGCTTCTGTTGCTTGCCCTTGCTACGTTTGCCTCGCTTCTGAGCAGCAGAGCCAGAAGCGATCTTGCCCTTGAGACGAGCTTCGACGCCGGACATGGCACGCTTTTCACGCTTCTCAGCTCGCTGCTCGACCTCGGCGACGAGACGCAAGTTACGCCAGACACGGAGAGCCAGTAGGCGGTAGAAGATAAAGTCGTGAGCAGTCTGAAGATCTTTGCTGGCGGTTTCGTACCTGGCCGAGTGGCTCTTGGAGAGCGCCTCGGCGTTGTCCTCGACGAGCTTGCGTGCGACATCCTCGGCATCGGTGAAGGCGCTAAGGGCTCGGTCGAAGGGGTCGAGTTCGGTGCGTCCGGCTTTTCCAAGTCGCACGGTTGACGTGGAAGCGTTGCGGGCACCGTCGGCGGATGACTCTCCCTGGGCGATCTCGCGCTTCTTCGCCTTGCGCTGAGCATGCGACAGTCGAACACGCTTGCCGTCCTTATGCTCTGCAGCAGCCTCCTTGTTGTTCTTGTGGCTGGTCGAAGCGCCTGCGTTGGCATCTCGGTCGCCCACAGCCTCGACCATGACTGATTCTCGAAGGGCAGCCTCTTCGGACTGAGCGGCCACGATGGTGTCGAGCAGCTCAGGGTTACGCACAGGAATTTGGTGTCCGTGCCAGCTGAGGGAGAGTGTCTGCTTCTGACCAGAGCCAGCCTTGGCCTTGGCGGCTGTCAGCTCTTCGATGAGCTCCGTATACTCGGGCATAATCTGACTGCAAAGCTCGGGTGTTGCGGTAGAAGAAGCAATCTTGTCCATGTCCTGCTCCGAGTTGCCGAGCTGGTAGGCAGAGTAGCGCATCTGAGCCTCGCCAGCATCAACGAAGCTGTTGGCGAGCGCCTCAGCACGGCTCGCGGGGCTGTTAGTGGCGATAGCATTGAGCAAGTTGCGGCCTACGGAAAGCATCTGAAGGGCTTTGTCCCACTGTGAACGATCGAAAGTGGCGGTGGCCTTGATGTTGAGCAGGTAAGCAGCTGTCTCAGCGCGAGAGTAGACATCAAAACGTTTGGACAGAGCTTGAACGAGCTGTTGCAGGGAGCTGGACCACTGTTCGGCACGTCGCAGCCTAGAGATGCCACGCTTGCGGAGCTGAGGGTTGGACTCATCGTCAAAGGCTTCCGATCGAAGCTCCTGCGAGTAAGCCCAGGCTCTTTCGGCTTCGAAAAGGAGAAGTTGAGCGGGTCGTGCATCATTGGCCTGAGCTACGTTGAGCTTCTTGGCAGTGAAGATGTTGCCCTGACCTTTGGCGTTGGCGCTCTGAGCAGCTGCCTGTTGGGCCTTCTTAGGCTTCTTGCCACGAGCTGCCTTTACGGTCTTGGACTTCTTCGCTTCCTTCTTGTGCAAGCCGTCGGAGTGGGTCAGAGAAAGAAGTTCGCGGAGTCGATGCGTCTTGGAGGCGCAGTATCGTCGGTAACGAGCAAAGTCTTGCTGTCGCATTCCGTGTTCGTTGCGAGCCTCGCTGATGAGCTGAAGCAGAGGGAAGGCAATGAGGTCGCCCCCTGCCTGAGACGCTTGGTCTCGGTTGGACAGATCGATCTCCATGGTGATGCTATGGACCGTCTGATCAACGGAGAGGTGATACGTTAAACAATATTTGGTAGTGATAGAAGTGAAGACGTGAGATGGAGCTTGACAGTATCGATGTTCGTCTTTGGTGTGATGCTCAGTTGAAGATGCACCGACATCGCCAATGCGTGACGTATTAAATGGGAGCTCACAAAATCGGGGAATCGGGAAGGCATCAGGCGATGAGGAGGACAAGCAGAATGCGAAGCTAGTGGGAGCTAACACAGCCTATGCACAAGGATTGACACCATGGTATGCAGGGAATATGTTGATATGACAACACTTATGAAAGAAGATACGTGGCACATGGGCATGACTTGACAAGGGGAGCACAGTCAGGTGCCGAGAATATGTATATATGCCCTTAGCTTAGTCATTACCTCCTCATAAAAATTCAAGCAGTTCACATAGTAGCATCAGACTAAAGGAGTGCCTGACCGTGGCCTCCTGAGTGGTGTATCTAATTTTAACTGGCTTCCAACGTGGGGCTCGAACCCACGACATTCAGTTATGGCGGGAGATAACGACCACCAAGCCAGCACGGGTGAAGCAGCCAGGAGGACAAGAAAAGGTAAAACACCACAACGAGTACAAATCGACGAAGAGGCCACTGACGGTAACGAAACCGAGTATTTTGACAATGTGGATGAAGGAGGATCAGAATCGGACGACGATGACGACCGATACAATTACCGCACCTTGGCCAAAATCCTGGAGACGGTCCCCAAGCTCACGTCACGTAACTACTATAGTTGGAGCACACTCATCAAGGCCAACCTCCAAGTAGTCCCTCATGCCACACGACACTTAGAGGGCACGTACGATAGAAACCACCCGAAATGGAACAGAACTTTTGATAACACCCTAGTGGGTGTCCTACGAAGCACCTTAGACACTGAAGGAGAGTACAACGTCCTTTACCTCCTACTCGACATCAGCAAGAATCACCTGACCTGCCATCAAGCTTGGAAGAAGATCGAAAGGAGCCTTACCAGCGAGGCAGCTAGAACCTCGTGACGGATAGCATTACTTGCCGAGCTCAATGAGACAAAGATGTTTCATGCTGATGCCCGTAAGCTAATCAAAGAAATCAGGGTCATGCAGACGGAAACTAGCCTCTTAGGTGCCCCATTTAGTAATGATGCACTATATTCCGCGCTCCAGAGGTGCACGATTCGACACCCGGTCTACAAGGAGATGGTCGCCACGGTTCACCAGGTCAGCTTCGATGCTCTAGCAACGGCGTTGACTACACGCCAGTCTGCAATAGAGAGCGTACCCAGTCAGAAAGTGGACCCACGTCAAGCAAGTGCTAGAATCGCTGGGGGGAACGAAGAGCAGGCCGAAGACACTGAGTCGGACACGGGCAGCTTAAAAACCAAACCAAAGAGGATTCGTTGCTGGGTGTGCAAGCGCTATGGACACGGCACCAGCAAATGCGATGCTTCCGTTGCCATCCCCGAAAATTCCCCCCTCACCAAGACTAACTAGGAGGTCTGGTGCTCCTTCACCCCGAGTTGGCGGCAGCTCCCAAAGTCAGAAGGAACCACATGTTGGATCTTGGATTCGGGAGCGAGCTACCACATGGTTAATGACCACAGCATGCTCATCCATCCAAGAAACTGCAGAAAGTGCGTGTATACCGCTGGAAGCGAAGTGCTGGAGGCAACTGCTGTGGGAGATACCAACATAGCAACAGAACATGGAGACGTTTATCTCCAAAATGTGTTGTATGTTAAAAGACTCAATATTAACCTGTTGTCAACCAACTCACTGACAGATGAGGGAGCACGTGTGACTTTAGACCCTACAGGCGGGCAAATACACCTGGCAAATGGTATGCTATTGAAAATAGCGAAAGATCGCGAGCGTGGACTATTAGAGTTCCGAGGCGACACATGGCGACAAAGCGCGATGACTACATCAACACCGCTGTTTGAAGGGGTTGATGAAGAGTTCGAGCTGGCCGATCGGAGACCAAAGATCTCCACAAGACAGCTCTGGCACAAACGTCTAGGACATCCAGGTCGAGACAAGTCCAGAGCGATTGTTGATAGATTGAAAGG